AGAAAGTTACTTGAATATGTGGTGCCTTGACACTGTCTTATGTTTTTTAAGTTGCTTTATGAAATAATTATCTGCTGTTCCATAAATTTACCTTTTTAAAATTTAGAAGTGAATATAATTTTCCATAAATTATTAAAGCTGGCTTTATAAATACAGTTAAATAATGTGAGTGATTAAAAATTTGGAGTTTCTGTTTGTTTCACTCTCTGATTTCTCCTACCGCCACAGTTCTTCCCATCATGAGACTGTGGTGTGAATAGTGAACCATTTGTGTCTGATGTGATTTGGAAAGTACAGAAATCTTCCTTGCCCCGAACCAGGGTTTCTACAATTATGATGGTAGCTAAACATGCCACTATGAGTCAATCACTGAGATTAACAATTAAAAGCCCTGGTAGTGTGGAAATACATTAATTTGAGGGGAATTCATGAAATGAGCATTATCACTTTAACAATTTTAGAACAAGCAACTACATCAGTCACTTAAGTGGCTTCTGAAAAAGTGGTTTTTGTTTTTCCTTTGTGGGAAGGGGAAACATTCAGAAAATGAAATTAAATTTAATCTGATTAAATTTAAAGAAAATTAATTTAAATAAATTTAAATAAAAATAGTTTTCCTGAAGGAATTTCAGGAAGTTCCATCGTTTTGAAGCCAATATCAGTATTCCACACATCTGTTCATCTGCTCTGTTTTCATAATTATATTTTAACATATGTTTTATTTTTCTTGTTTACAAAAGTAAGAAAAGATCACTATAGGAAATTTGGAAAATACTGAAAAATATAAAGAAGAAAATGAAATCACTTGTCAAATAACCCAAAGTTTACCTTCTGTAGTAATTTTTACGCATTTACCTTTATTATGGTGTAGTATATAAGCAATCTTTCTCAATTATGAGAAAAATTTGCCTTCTTGTTTCACAAAGTCAATGTAATTAGCAAACCGTATTAAATTATGTTACTTCAGTTCTCTTTTTTAAAAATATGTGCTTAGTCTTACAAATGTGAACAAATATGAACGACACTGTCCCATAAAAAATGCATATTGTTTTCTTCTTATATCTCTAACATGTTTAAAAATGCCTTGTTAATGAAGTAGTAAGGCAGAGACTTGTACTGGCTAACAATTAGGATTAAATGTTGACCATAGTTTTAAAGAGTATCTTTTGCTTTGTCAGAATGTAATGATCACATAAATATCCATTACTCTGTTGACCCTCAGAAATTCTTTGTCTTCTCAGTGATATATTGCTAAGATTTCTTTTATTTCTTTTTTTCTTTCTAGCTCAGAATGAAGGACACCCTAGGCATATTCTTTGTTTTGAAAAATCTGTGCTTCTTTTTTTATTATTCCATTCACTCTTTTTGAAGTTTTGAACGTCTCTAGTACTTATTTGCTAACTTGCATTTATTACACTAATTCTTGGTATCTTATGATAAATGAAATTTAAAGATATTAAAACTTGGGTGTAATTTAATTTCAGCCAACTATAAAAGCTCAGTCATTTACATGGAACTTCCAATCATCCATCTTTAGACAGATCCATTAACTGTCACTTTCATCATAGAACAATTGATGAGACTTATTTTCTTATTGACTTAGTTATTCATTACTTTTTAATTTCAATACTTTTGAGTGCAAAGTCAATTATTCCAGTCTCTAGATTATAAAAATTAAGTATTGATACTCATATTACCTTGAGTAAACAAATGCTGAAATTTTTCTTGTTCACTTACAGCATTTTCCCTGCCCACTTCTTTCTTTTCCTTTTTAAAAATAACTTAACTCAGGGCTGGCCTGGTGGGGTAGTGGTTAAATTCTTGCACTCTGCTTTGGTGCTCCAGGGTCCGAGGGTTCGGATACTAGGCATGGACCTACATACCGCTCAACAAACCATGCTGTCTCAGAGTCCCGCATGTGAAGTGAAGGAGAATTGCCACAGATGTTAGCTCAGAGCCAGTCTTCCTCAAGCAAAAAGAGGAAGATTGGCAAGAGATGTTAGCTCTGGAACAGTCTTCCTCACCAAAAAGCAAAGCACTAAAAGACAAAAAATAACTTAGCTTTATCTTCCCTCGTAGAGATATAGGTAAATGCTTTCACTTAATCTGGTCAGAAGCTTATTGCTCTAATACTTGAGAAAAGTCTCTAGAAGAAATCAAAGCTTCATTAAAAACTTGGGAGGAGGGACATTTCTTTCTTGTCCACTGTAGGATCCTACTCTTAAGCATATTTCTTGGAACATACCAGTTAGTTCACTAAATATTTATTGAATAAGTGAATGTTATCTTACAGGAGTGAATCAATAATGTTCTTCTTAGTCTGTTTCACTAGCAGTGTTTAACAGTGGAAATTTAAAATATACTGGAGTTTTCTTCTCCCAACTGTGATGGAATTGTTTGTCGTAGACTCAAAGCTCATGCCAGGTATAAGTAGAGAAAATTAAATTAAAAAAGAAAAAGAAAGAGAAATCTGTTTGATGATATTGGAGAAATGATGAGGAAACCAGGGCTCCTCCTTCTTGACACATACTGGACACTAATCTTTGTCTCTTGAGCACCACAAGATTGTTTTAAATTCAGCTCTGCTTTTAGTGGTCATCTATTTTATATGTCAGACTCTGACCCTGAACAATTAGTAATTCAGCAAATATTTTTAGGGGAAAACTGAAGAACATAGGAATCATTTTTACATCTCTTTGTCTTTGAGATCATGGCCCCACACTTCTTGGCTGACTTACATGCTGTTGTTGTCTTCTCTTTCATTTACGTGTGCTGTCATCTTTGGTATTTGCCTTTCTCTACATTGGAGAGGATTAATTTGTTGTCCCTCTCTTAGTCTTTGAAATGCCTAGTTAGATCAGTGAAATATCACTCCAGCACTATCAGTTTTCATTTACCTGCTGCACTTTCAGTTCTATTGACAAATTCCTTCCTGAGATTATCCATTGTTATAAACTGTCACATGGGTTTATCACTGGGAGACAAGGAAGCAATGCAACTGTACATTCTGATGTCTGTGCTTAAACTAACAGATGCATAGTGACCAATCATTGACAGACTTTGAAAGAAGCGATGCATATGTCACTGATCATGATGCACATATCTTATTTGTGTAGTGACTATTGACTGAAGAGCTAGTAGAAAAGTTTGTACTTTATATAATTACTCACAGTTGATATAGTGTGCTAACTGAAATTTGAACCATATTTTTGGGGATGTCGGATGTTATTTAACTAAACTATATAACTGAGATTTGTGCATATCAGAGCCACATAAAATGAGGACTGAATATATATATTCAATTTTATTAGTTGTCAGGAAAATATGAATTAAAGCTATAATGTGGTACCATTATACACTTATAGGAGTAGCTGTGGAGGCAGAATTCTAAGATGATCCATGATTGTAGCCCTTGTATAATTCCTTCTACTGGGAAGATTATAGGACATCAGTACTGTAATTACGCTATAATACATGGCAAAAGGGAATTTGCAGATGTAATTAAGGTTACTAATCAGTTGACTTTGATAAAACACTAAATTTAAATACTAAATTAGATACTAAAAGGAGATCATCTCTATGGACCTAACCTAGTCAGATGAGCCCTTAGAAAGCAGAGATCTTTTTCCCATCTGTTAGCTTCAGAAGAAATCAGAGAGATTTGATGCATGAGAGGGCTTCAGTGAGAGGGATGTTCACCATTGCTGAGATAGACAGGCCATTGGCCACTGACCTGTGAGTTGCTTCTAGGACCTCAGAGTGGTCCCTGGCCAACAGCCAGCAAGGTAAAGGAGACCTGAGGCCTACTGCCTCAAGGAACTAAATTCTGCTCACAGCCTCAACGAGCTTGGAAGTGGGTACCTCCCCCAGAATCTCTAGATAAGAGCACAGCCTGGCTGATAACTTGGCACTGGCCTTGTGAGACCCTAATCAGAGAACTCAGTTGAGCCCATCTAGACTTCTAACTTACAGAACTGTGAGATAATAAAAGGACGTTGTTTTAAGTTGCTAAATTTGTGTTAATTTGTTATGCAGCAATAGAAAATTAATACAATATTAAAATTTTAGAAAGAAAACAACCGGCAAAACCAAGTGTTGGTATAGCTGTGGAACAACTGAAACTCTTATTCTGTTTTGGGAATGCAAATTAGTATGATCAGTTCAGAAAACTGTTTGGCGATATGTACTAAATCTGAACATAAAATGTATGAACATACCCTAAGAGCAATTACAGCTTATAGATATTTTTTCCAATATAAATCATTTGTGCACTGAAGAAAAAAAGTACAAGAAACTTTATAGACATTTTAAAATAGCCCAAGACCAAGAACAATCCACGTGTCGGTCAGCAATAAAATGTGTAAATATATTGTGTTGTGTTCATTCAGCGGAGACTTACACGGCTGTAAGAATGAATCAACTACTGCTGCCCATGAATGAGCCTTACAAATGTATGTTGAATGAAATAAGCCACACATAAAAGAATCTACACACAGGAGAGTATGAGCTCATCTATGTAAAGGTCAGAAATAGGCAAAACTAACCTATGATTATATAACTGATAATAATGGCTAAGTTTGGAGGCTACAGTAGTGATTGGGAAGGGGTACCACAGGCAGTTTTAGGGTGCTGGTAGTGCCCTGTTTAATGATCTGGATGCTGACTAAACAGGTGTATTCATGTTGCAAAGATTAATTTAACTATGCATGATTTGTGCACTCTTTCTTCAATGAAAAGCTTTATTTAAATGAAGGCCTATAAAGTGTTGGCAACACCTTTTCCACTGTGTGGCTTAAAAAAAAGAAAAAGTGCCTAAGGCCATGCAGCTTGTGAGCAGAAAGACTTAGAATGGAAAATGATAATTAAGGATAATTTAATGATAATTAATGTTTTAGTTGAATTATCTCTTTCATTTGACTGAAAATAAAAGAGGAAAAAGAAAAGTGAGAGCAGTAGATAAATAATTTTGACATTTACAATTAATTCTTTTAATAAAACAGTTTGCCGGGAGGACTCCTACCATTCTGTAGTGTCATGTGCTGCTGTCGTTCTCACTCCCATGGAACCAACAATAGACATGAAGAAAAGAGAAGAACTGAAATTTCCTGAGCCTTCCAAACAGTAAGTTTTTGTTTGATTTTTCGGAGCTTTGTAAACAGATAACTGATCAGAGTCAGATCGCGCAGAAATTGTGATTTATAATGAATGCATTAACACTGGTATATTGAGAGAACAGAAATAAATTTTGTACATTAAAAAAAATCAGTTTCTCCTACGTTTCCTCAATGAACTTCTGTATCTTCTGACTTTATGTGTTTGAACTATATGCCATTCAAGTTTCATTTCGTTACCTTATCTTAGGGACATGCCTAAGTAGACTGACATGCTTCATCTCCTTAACCCTGTGATTGTGGATGTACTGTTCTTGGAGTGCTTATTTTATAGTTATAGGCTTTGGTGATCTCAAATGTGATCAGTTTTTAGTATAAACTTTTTAGCCTTAAGTTGGTTTGCACTTTTGTAAGGAATGATAGTTATTCTTTTTAACTCTTTATATTAAATTATCCCAAATTAAAACTTTACACTATTTCCTGTTTCCATATTTTTTGACATTTAAACAAATCAAGCTTCATTTAAATTTAAATTTGATCTTACATTGAATAAATGGTAGATTTCTTATAATGACCAAAGCATATTAAATTTGTGGTAACATGTCAGATACATGACTTGAAATATCAGATAAACTAGCATTATTTCTAATTATGCATTAAGCAAATCGAAAGAGAAAACCTACTGATGATTATCTAGTGACAGTCGGGCCATGCTGGCTTTAAGGTCTCAGGCTGGAGACTAGGCGATGATGGTGGTGCCATGGATTGCTGGCTGACCACCCAATGAATGAGGTGGGAGTTACCTACTATTTTTCCCCGTCAGATTCCACTGTATGATACTCGTTTGTTTCTTGATGTCTTTCTACTGGATAAGCTCCTGAAGACAAAGTTCCCTGGAACATGATAGTGTCTGATACTCTTTGTGAAATCAATTAGAAAATTTCTTAATGTTACATTCAGTAATGTTGAATTCAAATGGAGCGATGTATATGTTTGATTGCATGAAGATATTCAGTATTAGTTTCTCATTATGGAGAAAAGAAATACTAACTAATTCAGAAAGTAATGATTGTAATTCAGTTTTAATACAATCTAAAAGTGAAAACAATTTAACTAGTCTTAATATAGTCTAATTTTTAGGTTCCAAAAGCCATTTTTGTCTAATAGGAGGAAAATTACATCTCATATATGCCAATTGAATTATATTAGAAAACTCAAATATGTTTTCCTGCAGTGTATATATGAGTTTACATAAGTTATCTATATATTTGTAAATCAGACCTTAAGTTGTTTTCATTATGTTTCAGTGACTGTTCAAAACTGGTGAACAGTGTTATTTGCTTACATAAACTGTCTTTTTTCCAGTCTTCAGCTACTTCATAAATATTCATTCTTCTTTATTCTGAGGTGTATATTAAAGCAGACGGCATTTGTTAACTGGCTATTCTTTTTCTTCCTGTTACCCTACATCCACTCTGATACTCCTCTGCCTTCTCTGAATCTACCTTCTTATTCAAACATTCTCCCTCAACAATACCATTCATTCATTCATTTGGATTTTGTTACTGTTTTTGTTTTTCTGAGTCAGAGGGACCTTGGTTAAAATCTTAACTCTGTAACATGTTGGATGGAAGTAGGGGACATTTTATTTAAACTCTTTGTGCTTTCCTTTCCTTGTCTGTTAATTGGGGTGATATCACCATCCTTACAGGGTCATTGTGAGTATTATGTGAAGTCATATTGGTAAAGGACCTGAAATCTAAAAATTCATGAAAGTATTGGTTATATTACTCTTTCCATAGCTTCAACTATTAACATTACCAATGACTTAACAGATATATGTCTCTTGAAGCCTCTTCTTAATTCAAGTCTAATATTTATCTGTTGACTTGACTGTCTAACTAGTTGTCCTACCAGAATCTTTTACTAAGTATATCTAAAACCAAATTAATGATTCCTCTAGGCTCTTTAAACTTTTGATTCTTTCTGACTTCTATATTTCTTTAAAGCTACCATTATTTTTCTTTTCTTAAAATCTCGATATGTTTTCTCCCTCACATCTCACATTCAATTAGTTATTGATTACTTGATTAATGTCCCCCTTATATTCTTCTTACCATTTGAGCTCACCAGGAAGGGATATACATTTCATATTTTTAAAATTTTTCTAATGTATCTATTCAATTGTGATCTTAATGAAGCCATTCAAATAATGGTCATCTATCTAATGGAGATTATGTATGCCCTCCATACCTCACACTGCTATTTTGAGAATTAAATGGTAGATGTGAATATATGGCAAGAACACAATATAAATGCAAGGCATAGTGATTAATTCAAAACTCTTGTTTGCCAATGAGAGAAGTTCCAATGCAATTTGGTTTCAGAAAAATCAAGAGTGGGGGTTGTTGTTGGCTCATATAATTAAAAAGTTTAGAGATAGAAGTTTCCTCGAGTATGGTGGAGTCTGGTACTCAAATGATGTCATAAAGGGCCATTCTCTCCATCTGTGTCTCTTTACTCTGCTTTCCTGTTTGTAGTTTCCATTTTCAGGAAGGTTCCTCTAATGGTGACATTACTGCCTTCAGCAGCTACTGGGACAGATTTTTATCTTTACAACAAATCCAATGAAAAGAGATGGTTTCTCTTTTCCTTTAATCAACACAGAAAAGCCCCGGATTTGAGTGTCATTGGCTTTGACTACCTTAGCTTCTTTGACATAACTGTGCTGAGGCAGTTGCTGTGCCCAGGAGTATTTGATGATATGATTGGCTAGAACCAGGTTACGTAACAAACTCTGGAGCTGAGGGTGAAGATGAGAGGGGAAACGTGATTCCACACTTGGAATATGAGTGATGTTGATGAAAGAAGGCAGGGATAGATGCTAGGAAAACAATGGAAGTTCAATATAGATAGTAATATTATCACCATTAGTTTTAAAAGTCAGAATCTTTATTATATTTAAACTATAGCTGTTGAAATATTAACATTAAAACATAACTATGTACATCTTTATTTCTTGTTTTGTTTATTTATTTATTTGCTGAGGAAGATTAGCCTTGAGCTAACATCTGTTGCCAATCTACCTCTTTTTTTGCTTGAGGAAGATTAGCCCTGAGCTAACATCTGTGCCAGTCTTCCTCCACTTTATGTGGGGGTTGTTGCCACAGCATGGCTGACAAGTGGTTTAGGTCCACAAATAGGATCTGAACCTATGAATCTGGGCCACCAAAGCAGAGTGCACTGAACTTAACCACTATGCCATGGGGGGCCCCTGTTTCTTGTTTTAAATGATTTTTCTCCTGCTTAATTTTCTTTTTTTGAGGAAAATTAGAGCTGCACTAACATCCGCCACCAATACTCCTCTTTTTGCTAAGGAATATTAGCCCTGAGCTAACACCTGTGCCCATCTTCCTCTATTTATATGTGGGATGCCTGCCACAGCATGGCTTGATAAGTGGTGCGTAGGTCTGTGCCTGGGATTCAAACCAGCGAACCCTGGGCTGCCAGAGCAGAGCATGTGAACTAGCCACCAGGCTGGCCCCTCACCTGCTTAATTTTACTTCATATTGTTTGATTCAGCTGTGCTATTGAGAGACCATATAACTTGGTGGTTAGGAATTCAGGCCTTGGGCTGGTTTTTTGAAACTTTCTTAACCGTAGTTTTTTTCTTTTTAATGTGGGAGTTACTTTATTTGCCTTACAACAAATATATTAGGTAAATAACCATATCACATTTTTATAGATGGACTTACCAAATCCCTGTATGGTATTAGTTTTGTGTATTTTGGATTTTCCATTAGGAAAAATAATAACCCACTGATATAATCCTGAGATATTAGAATGCTTTAAGTTGAGACATTGTCTTTGGGTACCTAATATTTCCTTTAAATTTAGGATGGAATTATTTCTTTAAGTAAACTTTCCCCTCTAATTTTACAGGCTTCACATAATAAATATTCATAAACCATTGAGTCTTTGAAAAATAGAACTCATAGAGTCATACAATTGAGAACTCAGCAAATCTCTTGCTAAGAACTGCAATAATCTCCGTAAATGGGCTTCAGAATATGTAAGTTTGCACATAAGAAAGAATATGAGGATATTATAATCTAAGTGAAAAGGCAAAACATGCACCTAAAAAGATAAATCATGGCATAAAGGCAACAGATGCTGTTTATTCAGTGTAAGGTATAAATTCTGGTTAGGCATATGATTGTTTAAAGTTAGGTCAGGCTTATCGCTGTATTGTATAAACTTATGAAATAAACCCAGAATATTGGTTTTAATTATACCCTTGTATAGATATATCATTTTAGAATATAGGAAACACTTCATGATTGAAATATTTGTATTATCAACTTTTAGTCATATTCCGGTGATAGATAAATATTCTAATTTTGACACTTTGTTTTTAAATATTCTCATGTATTTATCAGCTTTTAGACATATTCAATCAGAAAAAAATAGGAATTATTCCGATTAAGAATGAAGCATGCATTTTTCAGTTTAGCAAGTGAGAGGGAGAAAATATCTAAATCTTTTAGGAGGGAAATCTACATTCTGAGCACTATACTGGGACAGAGTCAGAGCTTTCTTTTATTGATATATTTAAACTTTATCTTCATTCAGAAAGCAAGGGTGTGGATTTTACTTTACTTTTCAGTCTCATCTAATAGGTAGCTCAGAATAGCATGGAAAGGATAAATTTGCTAGAAAAATTGAAAAATTTGTGTGATCCCAAAAGAATATACAATTTTCAAATATTTAATCATAAGAGTAGAATGTTGAGATCAAAGCTTGAAGTGCGAAACTGTATAAATTTACAAAATCCTAATATTAAAAATATGTCCACATATCTAGCCACTCAGCATGTCGCTCAAACCCATACATTTCTCAAATCACATTTTGTGCAAATAAGGACCTAAATATACATAAAATTCAAACTCTGAAGAGAATGGAAGAATACTGCTTCCATGATTGCTTATGGATTTCATCTGGTGCTTTTAT